TCTCCGACTCAGAATGGTACTATATAACATATATATATACTATATATATATATATATATATATATATATGTGTGTGTGTACTGCTGTGAAGTGTTTTTGGCTGTTATAAACGATTATACCCTTTGAACTCATATGATCAGTCCATCCGTGATTGATATTAGCTCGGACGAGCATTGATCTTTACATGCCTTGCATACGTCTTTCGTTTGTCTACAGGTACCTACTACACATAAATACACTCCGTCCAAGAAGCCCAGGAAAGCTAGCCTGGCTCTGAACGGATTCCTCTCGCTCTCCCAGATAAGTCTGGAGCAAGCACAAACACCGGGTAGCCAAACACAGGTTGCCGCTGAGCTACAAACAACTCTCCCGCCTAGCATTGACAAGACGCTCGAGCGCATACCCACAGTTGACACCGGGGACACGAATAAGGCTCACACGACCAGGCGCCGCATGCATGGGTGTTATGTGGAAAGGCGGTACCGGACGTTTGAGCCCTCCCTGCTGGGTGACTGGGAGTTTGAGAGTGACAGTGACAGTGGTAGTGGTAGTGGGAGTGACGATGCGAGCTACAGGGAACATAATAAGCGGAGAGGGAGTGTGAGTGGGAGTGAGGGCGATAGTGCGGGTGCGAGTGGGGATGAGAGCAGTGGAGCACGCCAGGAATGTCGGAGTGCCGAGGCGGAGCTATGGAGTACTCATCTTGTGAGCGCGGGTTCGGATGCGGGCACACCCGGGAGCGCAGCTGTTCCCGACGGAGAGGATATATCAGAGCTGACCTCTGAACCTGTCACAGACTTAACGGACAAGGACAAGACTGTTCAAACACATCAGTTGGAAACATTCACGCAGCACAAACCCGTCCAATTCGGCCAGATGGGCCACTCCGAAGTAGGTGACGGGGAAGAAAGCGGTACTAGAAGCGGTACGGACACCGGTATAGATACCGACAAGTTTGAGGCCGCTGGGCCAGTCGATGTGGCTGCCTGCAATTGCCTGGGGACACTCGATAGCAAGTACGACAGTTCTATAAATAGCACGCGAGCGGAGGCATCCGCACATGGCAACAACCACTCGGCTTCGTTCTTACACAGCACCGCCGCGCCTGGTACAAGGTCACCCAGACCGGAACGGGAGAAGCTCGACACCATCATCGTATACAGACGGTACACAGACTTTACTGCACTCAATGCTCAGCTGACATCCCCGGTAAACCAGGCTTTGCCTCTGCCGGCAACCAGACTGTGGGCCAGGATTATGGGTCACCGATTCCGGCGGAACCTGATCGAAGAACGCGCCCTGGCCTTCCAGCATTATCTCGAAAAGTATGTTTTGGAAGTGTTAATGTTCTCGGAGAGCATGTTTTAGAGGTATTAATGTTCTCGAAAAGTAGGTTTTGGAGGTATTTATATTTTTGAAAAGTATGTTTTGGAGGTGTTTATGATCTCGAAAAGTATGTTTTGGAGATATTTATATCTCCAAAAGAATGTTTTGGAGGTTTTCATATTTTCAAAAAGTATGTTTTGGAGGTATTTATGTTCTCAAAAAGTATGTTTTAGGTGTGTTTTAAACTTTTTGTTCGTATGCATGTACATACATGTATGTATGCATGATGTATGTATGTATGTATGTATGTATGTATGTATGTATGTATGTATGTATGTATGTATGTATGTATGTATGTATGTATGTATGTATGTATGTATGTATGTATGTATGTATGTATGTATGTATGTATGCATGTATGCATGTATGCATGCATGTATGTATGTATATACTTTTATTGCTACTTTGAGGCGATATGTATTATAGCTCAGGTTGAGTATATAAAGATTGGGGCTTTTGAGCGTAGTTGACAAGTGTATGATTTCTTTGCATGTATTTCGGACGAATTATTGACTTGCTATGGAATGAGCACATTTTATATTCAAATTATCTGCAAGAAGTCCTAATATGTATGTTGATATGTATATCATGAATGTTAGATTTAGACGTATTCTGTTGCTATGGATTGCCGCGTGCTGTATTTACCCCGAATGTGGTCCTGTTCGATTTTGCTTCACTTTTCTCACGTGTGTTCGGTGATTTTTGAACAGTATTTCATTTATCAATTGTCCTCATAGCCGATGACGCGAGAAGCAATACCATAGTGCATATGTACATGCATATTTTTATGTATAAGTATATGTATATGTATATATATATATATATATATATATGTTTATGCGTATGCATATATATATATATATATATCTATATACATATATATATATATATATA